TGCTTCTTGTAGCTGTCATAAGTACATCCCTCAAGCACGTGATTGTAAGGGACGAGATGTCCACTGGCATTTGTGCTTCCACTCACCGTGACCCAGACATCGCACAGCCACAAGCTTGTAAATCTAACTTCAGGAGCACCCACCAGTGGAGCCACTGTGCATGCAAACCTTAAAAATGCAGACGTGACGACTCAACGCGGCCTTCCACCTGGGTTCCACAGGAGTGGAATACGCATGATCAACATCCCTGTATTTACCTGCCTTGCTCTACTTCAGGACACAGAAATGATACCTGCTACCACTTTACTAAGCGCTTATCTGGCGGCAAGTACCCCTTGTGAGTTATCATCTCCTTCTCACTCACTGCAACTCATAATGACTACGAGAAGCTATTACAGTGCAATCTGAGCGCTGAAGCTTCAAGAGCTTGTCTTGCTTGCGATAGCTCACGATGCTTTTCAGTAGAGGAATTCAGATTCCAATTCAGCCCAGATTTCAAAGCTTGTGCTCTTTGCAACACAAAATGCTCCCTTGAAACAAAAATGTTTAAACAACAATCCACCATTATTCCATGTGTTTTACATCCCAACATGTAAAGTATCTTGTGTATGAAGGTACTGGACCTTGTGATAGGCACCAGATACGAGCATCGTATTTTTAATCAGTCTTCAACCTGGACTTCCTTTTATCGTTGCATTAAGGAGCATTTTAAATACTTCAGCAGGTGTCGGTGTATGCTGATCCTGTTTCACGTTTACACCACGCTGCTTCATCAGTACCCTCCCCTTCCTTCGGAGATGCTGTTTTTAAACATCACAACATCTCTTTCCCTACAATAAGCACTGTTCTTCAGAAACCTAAACAGAATGTCATTGTCACATCTTTAAAAAGGCAAAGTTTCTTAATAACAAAGTCAGCATTCAAATTTTGATTTCTTTTATAGATTTAAAAAATATGTTTAGTTTGTCTGACCCAGGATAAGCATACTAAGTTCATACACTAGTGCATCAATTTTTAGAATTCCTACTAATTATAGTTAACGTGGCTTTACAATAACTTTTTTAAAGGTTTATTTAGTTTTACCTGAAAGAGTTACAGAGAGAGAAGGAGAGAGAAAAACAGAGAAAGAGAAATCTTCCATCCACTGGTTCACTCCCCAAATAACCACAATGGCCAGAGCTGGGCCAGTCTGAAACCAGAAGCTGGGGACTTCTTCTGGGTCTCCCATGTGGTTGTTTCAGGGGCCCAAGTACTTGGACCATCTTCCGCTGCTTTCCCAAGCTCACTAGCAGGAAGCTGGATCAGAAGTGGGGCAGCCAGGACTCAAACTGATGCCCATATGGAATGCTGGCATCACAAGTGGAAGTTTAGTGTATTACGCTATGGCACTGGCCCCTACAATAATGTTTTCTTGATTAACTTTACATGTTTGCTTTTGCCAAGTAAAGTGACATCTGTTTGGAGTGATGGTCAAGATTGGCTGCTTGGTTTCTAATTCAGCTCCCTGCTGGTGTGCCTGGGAAGAGTAGCAGAGGATGCTCCAAATACTTGGGTCCTTGGATATAGTTCTAGGTTCCTGATGTTGGTTCGAACAAGCCCTAGCAGGTAAGGTTTTTTGGGGAGTGTACCAACAGACAAAAGATGCTCTCTCTGTCTTTGATTCTCTCTCTCACTTGTTTGCAACATTCTGCCTTTCAAAGAAGCATTTTTTAAAAAAGAAATATCTATTTACTTTGATATGGAAACAGCTTTGCCATTTCCAAATGAGAGTTCTAAAATACACAATATGGAATTTTTGTTCATATTGAAATATTCTGGGTAATTTTCTCTCCTCTGTATCATCCATGAACATCTTCAAGACGATAAGAAATTTCACTGGCCCATATTGACCATGATCACAAATGTAATATGAATGACCACTGGACAGAAAAATGGGATCTTATTTGCAATATACCCATGGTCAAAAGACTACATTTTTATGTAAATACTGTTATTTAATTTAAACTCTGTGTCCATGATGGAAAATTCTATTTTATAGTCACAAAAATGTTTTTATAGCAATAAACTGAATTTAAAACATATCATTGAAATTTTTGATTAAAATAAAACTGAAAATAATACACTCATTTTAAGAAAGGACAAACTACAGCCAAATGAAGGAAATGGGTTTGCTCAGCGACTCAGCGGCTCCATCATCCCATGTACAGGGCAAAACTGCTTCTGCAGGCCAGACAGCTGGTCAACATCGTGCCTTAGAGATCTGATTCCCGAAATGGTTAAAAAAAAAAAAAAGAAGAAGAAAAGAAAACCCCACAGTAAAGATTCCAGAGGATTTTCTTTGTAACTTCAAGTAAAAAAGTAAACGAAAGTTTTTGAGCAAGCAGGACTTAAATTATCAAGGAAATCTTCACTCCTTGCAGTAAAATAGAAACAAAACCCTTTTTCATATTCCCCAGTTAGAGCTCATGCCAAGAGCTCTTCCACTTAGATCCCTGCTGTAGTCAAGTGCTGCATTCTTTGGGTAGTGTTTTTTCTTTCTTAGGTTTCCTTTTGAAGCGAACATCATTCAGGAAATGGACAGTGGACCAGCAAGAAAAGTTGGATTAAAAAAACGTAAGGACAAGAACTCCTATTCACATGACATTATCACTGATAGAAACCGCTTCTTGCGCCCAGGAGCTGTGCTAGATGCTTGTAAGCATTTGATGAATCCTCAACAGCCTTGCAATGCTGAAGAGCACGGGACCTGCAGTGGGTCTGAGGATTAAGAAGATGTTCTGGACTTTTCAACAGCAGCAATGGCTGCACCACACCGTAATTCACGCTGAAAATCACTTGTATGCTTTCAGGCGGTAGATTTTATGGTCATATCCTGGTAAAGCTGTTATTTTTCAAAATCTGTGCTACTAAAGGGATTTACAGATATCTTTTAACATAAAATATTCTTCTTTCCTGGTTATCAAACCCTAACTCAACTATCTTAAAGAACACAGGTATGTGTTTAGGCATATGCAGAAATTCTTTCACAGAGGGCTCAATCACCTGTAACATTCTAGAAAAGCTTAAGGCCATCAGTTCTGTACTTTCTCACCTCAACCCCAACACTATCTTGCTTATAAAATTGTTCCCCAGTTCTTCTCGCCTATTTTTCTCACTATTCCACATCACCCTACAGTAGAGACCAGTTACTGCTCTCTCTAGCCCTTCTCTGCTCTTCCCCGGTTTCTTGAGTGCACAGTCAGCTAAGAACTGAATAGGAGGGCAAGTTCCTCTCTTCGACTCCCCAGAAACGTCTCTGTTGGGGAGGGATGAAAGGAGAGGCTGGAGAACACATTTCTTGAATTGATCTTTCTTTACGTCTGCTTCCATAGGACCAAAGATTTTGCTACATATATTCAATAACTGCCGGGGAGCAAATGGTTTTCTGTTCCAAATATACTACTTTCTGCTGTTTCCCCTGGTTACTCCCCCTCTTCCCTGACTCTAGGAGGGAACCGGAAGCTGCCCCGCTGGGAGGGTGACTACAATGTCACCAGCACAGGAGGATACTAAAGGGTGGCTTTTGTCTTTAAAATTCCTCATAATCACTTGCTCCAAAATTATGTTCTTTCCTCAACACATTGTTACTATACCACATTTCTGACCCTGATTCTTCATTTCTGCGTCAGGTAATGCATTTGACTCTCACAACTCCATTCACTGCTGTCAGGTCACGATCATGTTCTGCCCCCCTGTGGATTTGGGTAAACACCTGTTAAACCCTGAACTCTAGAGGGCTATTCCCCAAATAGCGCATTTCACGTTTTGCAAAGTATACTGCAGCAATGTTAGATATGAATTTCTACTGCTCTATGTGTTCAGGAATAAGTGTCTTTAAGACTCCCCGTTACAATGACTCCCCGTTACATTAGCGAATACAGCCTAAGTACTCTGACATTGACTTACAAGAGTAAAAGGCTTTACCAGTAGAAAAATCTTTACGTCTTACATTTGTCTTTTTAAAGAGAGCATTACAAAAACTTGAGATACAGTAAAAACCATGAGCTACAAACATAAAAATCTTAATAAAACTAGTATTACGGTTCATACTTTACATTTTTAAAGTGCTCATGGAGTGGACACATCGACAATAAGACTACAGCTGTTTTTACAAGCTGCTGACAAACATCGTGCTCACAAAGCTGTTTGCAAGGGTGAGCTGAAAGTGCATGATTCTCTGGGAAAATTAAAACCAGCCATTTATAATAAATTAATTAACATTCAGATGATGTTTCTGACATTCTCAACCAGAGTACTAAAAAAAGGCTGCACATTCTGGGAAGACGTCTCCTTCAGCTGTTTGAATTCAGAAAACAATATTCCAATTTTGAACCTTTTAGATTGGGCTCTGCTTCTGTCTCCCCACTACCACCACCGCCAATTTTGCACACAGCTGTCTGTTGCACTTTTCAGAATCGCGCCAGATGCTGGGTTCATCAAGCCGAAGCAGGAAAACAATGGTACGAAAGCAATTAGCGGCTGCACTGGGGCTGCACGGAGGAGCCTATTAAAACGTGATAACGCTGTTCTGATGGGAATTCCGACACGGCTCTGTTTCTGACATTTCTCTGCTGCCAAACAGGCTGGCTGTGTGGAAGGAGGTAACATCCTGGAATTTATTTCTGGAACAAGCAAAGGACTGGCTGAATTGGAATCCTCCCAAGGCTTCTGGGATGGCTCGACCACCATTTTATTCATATGCCATTGGATCCTCTTGACCTCTTAACAGCTCAAGGAATAAAACCCAGTATGGCTTGGGTGCTGTCCACTCATCCAGCCACACTCCACACTGAAGACAGGTGCGGGGAGTCTCTTGAATGAAGAGAAGGGGAGGAACTCAGCAAAGTGAAGGTTAATCAAGCCCTCCCCACTCTGTGGATTAGCCTCTGCAGGAGGAATACAGAGAAGCAATGGCTCTGACCCATTTCAGGACGCCACCACACCCGGCCAAGAGAACTCACCTTGGGGCTGGAAGTCCCATTGGTATCTGAAACAGAAGGAGAAAAACTACAGTGAGTCAAGTGGGAACAGCTGACCCACAGCTGCCTTTCTGGATGTCAGAGGCTAACAGGGGACTCTTGCAACCCACCATACGACCCATGCGTCTCCTTTATTTCGGGAAATGACTGGCAAAACTGCTAACTCTTGAAGCCTTTAATGAAACAGTAGTGGTAGAGAGGATCATTTGTGAGTCACTAATTTGCAACCTTTCCCTCTGCCCACAGAAACAAGGCTATGTGCGGTGGTTACCCACAGAGGCCTATTAGCCTTTGGATCCCATTTCCTCCTGCCTTCACAGGAACCTTGCATTATCCTCAATTGATTTTCCTCTCATAAATATTCAACCTCTTCCTTTCAACTTGGCCCTTTCCCAAGGCAGTTCGACTCATATAAAAATAAAGTGAACCCTCCCTCACCTCTTCACCTCCCTCATCTGCTGTCCTGCTCCCTCTCCCACCACCGTGGACTCTCCCACGGCATCGTCTGCATGCCCTCACTGCACACCCCATCCTCAGCGCACCCCGGGCAGGTACAGGTTCTCTGAGCCGCAGTGCTCGCTGTGCACACGAAGGCCCCGAGGCACTAAGCAGATGGATATCATTTCAGCCTCACTTTGACTTCTCAGAAATGTACATGTGCATCTGAACTTTCTTTAAAAAAAAATTTTTGGAAAGCTACACGTTTTTTTAAAAAGATTTATTTATTTTTGTTGTTAAGGCAGATTTACAGAGAGAAGAGAGAGACAGGAACATTTTTTGTCCACTGTTGCATCCCCAAAGGCTGCAACAGCCAGAGCTGAGTCTATCCTAAGCCAGGAGCCAGGAGCCTCTTCCAGGTCTCCCACACGGGCACAAGGTCCCAAGGCTTTGGGCCATCCTCAACTGCTTTCCGAGGCCACAGACAGGGAACGGGATGGAAAATAGAGCAGTCAGGACACAAACCAGCACCCATATGGGATCCTGGTGCATGCAAAGCAAGGATTTAGCCACTAGGCTACTACACTGGGCCCTACACTTAAAATTTTTTTTTATTTGTTTAAAAACAGATTTACAGAGAGAGAAGGAAAGAAAATAGAGAAAGAAAATCTTCCATCTACTTGTCCACTCCCCAAGTGGTTGGAACAGTCAGAGCTGGGCTGGTCTGAAGCTAAGAACCTGGAGCTTCTTTTGGGTCTCTCATGTGGGCCCAGGAGCCCAAGGACTGGAGCCAACCTCTGCTACCTTCCCAGGCCATTAGCATAGAGCTGGATCAGAAGTGGAGCGGCCAGGATTCAAACTAGCACCTATCCGGGATGCTGACACCACAGGTGGAAGATTAACATACAATACCACAGCTCCAACTCAGCTTCCACAGTTGATAAATTCCTAAAAGGGTCCATGACCCAAACAGGATTTGCAAAAGGGCAATGAATAAATTATAGTGGCATGTTGTCAAGTGCATCCTTGACTGACATTAGATCTGGCTAGTGGTGGGGTAAGAGCGGGTGGATGGCAGCAGCCCTGCAGAAATGGAGAGGAGGGAGGTCACCATCACTGGCAATGAATGGGGGAGGGGACAGAGGAGAAGCAGCCTGACACTGTCTCCTTGGAACCTTCAGTCCCAGCACGGGACTGAGCCGGAAGTCAGGTGTCAGGAAATATGAGACTGGGCTGAAGCAACGGAAGGCCCAGGCCAGCTTTGACACCTGCAGTACCAAGGGGAGTGAGAAGGAGCAGAGAAGAGGGTACAGCTCAGGGGAAGGCCTGTCCCCATCAGCGTAAGAAGCTGGCTGACATGCAGTAAGCAAGTTACATTTAACAGCCGGATGGATTGGTCTCCACCTAGCAGCCAGCCAACTTCCCAGGTGCCTGGCCAGAGTAAAGAGTTTCCTGTGCACCTCATTTCTGGGAAGCACAGCATAGCACCATTGTTAAAGGGGTGAAGCGTTTCCCATCGTCTCCTGAGCCATGGTTCTAACCCCCAATTCCAATCACTGCCCAAATTCTAATTCAATGTTAATGGAAACTCAGATGTGAACACACACACACACACACACACACACACCCCATACACATTACACACTTACACAGCACAGATACACCACACACACACACTATACACACACACCACATACACACACCACACATACTTTTTTCCAAAATGTTAATGATGGTGGCGGCAAATACTTGACTCACTTACACTGTTCTCACATATTGGCCCATGAAAATTAAAAAGTGGGTGGCAATGAACCTCTCTCCAGGAAAAAGCCCAGCTCTCAGCAAATTGTTGAGTAGGTAAAATCTATTATTGATTTCAGCTCTTATGTGTCCTCTTCCGCAATCTCCACTCCAACTAAACGGTATTTTTAGGTCCCTTCTTACCTACTTTAAAGTGCCCTGGTTTCCTGATTTCTCGTTAGTCAAGAAGAAAGATGACCTTGTAAGTTCATGTAAAATAAGAGCACTACTTCTGTCATCTGAGGTGTGAACCAGCAGATGGAAGATGTCTCCTCTCTGTCACTTTGCCTTCCAAACAAATACATCTTAGAAAATAAAAAAGTACTGCTTCTGCCAATAGTAGCTTTATACTAAGAAAGCCTATTGTGGAGAAAGAACTCAATTGAACAGTATCTAGTTGATATTAAATAACAGATTTACTTATTCTTGACAGTACTGTAATTCTTGATGGTACTGTAATTAAACATTTCTGTCAAACTTTAAATTGTAAGATGAATTCGTTCTGAGAATCTAATATGCAGCATGGCTACTACAGCTATTAATACTGCATTAGATATTTAAAATTTGATAATAGAGTAGATCTTAAGTATTCTCACAAAAATATAATTAAATGGAGGTGACAGATGTCCTGATTGTGGTAATCATTTCACAATATATGCCAAATCGTATCTTACATTTTAATTATGTAATTTTATTTATCTATTACAAACAATTTCTAGCAACAAAAATCATATGCAGAACTTAACATGATGAGATAGAAAGTCATCTCATCTCATCTCATCTCAGTTCTTTACCTTTTTTATTGTAAGATACAAACATATCTTGCTAGCTACCCTACCTCTTTTCTCACTCACCCCAAGTATTAATTATGCAACAACCCTTTTAAAAATTGATTCAGAAGCCAACAAAAGGACACACCTCCACCCCAGTGGCGACAGAGGACAACATTTTTTAAAAAAGAATGATTTATTTGAAGGCAGAATATCAGAGAAAGAGATCTTCCATCAACTGATTCCCTCCCAAATGGCCAGGGCTGGGCTGGGCTGAAGCTAGGAGTCAGGAATCCCACCCTGGTTTCCCACATGTATCTCAGTGGCTTAAGGATTTACGCCATCATCCTCCACCTTCCCAGGCACATTGAGTAGGGTGCAGAATCAAAAGCAGAGCAGCCTGGGGTCAGCATGGTGACATAAGCCAATCCTTCCCCTGCAATGCCAGCATCCCATATGGGCACCAGTTCATGTTCCAGCTGTTCCACTTCTGATCCGGCTCCCTGCTTATATTCCTGGAAGGAAATCATTAACATGTTCAACACTTAACATATGCCAGGTTCTGTGCTATGTATCCCTTTCACACATATCATTTTATTTAATCCTTCTGACAATTTTAAGAAGCCAGTATTATTATGACCCCAGTTTACAGGATGAGGAAACTAAAGCCTCCAATAACTTGTTCCAGATCATGTAGCTGTTAAGTAGCAGGACCAAGATTTGTCCATGCTCTTAAGTTCTATTTTACCAGCTTTCCTATCAGCTGTGACACAGAAAGTTCAGCAAGTACTTCACAGAAGGTACAATAACTTTTCTACACAGCCTAAGGGTTGTGGGTTAGACCAGACATCACTAGCCTGGAGCTCATTGTAGAGCTTCAAGGAATTCAAAACTCTCCAAATGTGTTCTCTTTACAGATTTCTTTAGTGTTTACAACTCCCCTCCCTCCACTGCCACCCACCAAAAATAAGACTCTCTGGGTTGGCTGAAGAAGGCTGCAATGACATTACAAAAGCCAGAGAGGCCAACATCTGGGATGAAACAAATGTAGAATAGCTAGATGATATTCTAGAAGTGCTTTTTTTTTTGCCACGGAAGTATTAAAAGTGTTATTTTACCTAAGACACACCATACACTATCTGTCTTGATAAACTATCTGTTGAACCAAATAAAATCTCGTCTTGATGTTTGAAGGAGGTCCACATTTGAACTTCATTTTTGCAAGCAAACAGCAATGTCCCCCAGTGTCTGCAAAACTTGATGTCCAGAGACAACTTCTCTCTCCCTGCTGACTGTCTATTCTCTGGTGATGCTATCTCCATACAGACAAAGGTTAACACTGAAATGCTATTCTTGAATTAGATATGGAATCTTAGGGTTCAGATGGACACCTAGCTGAGCAAGGTTTGAACAGCTCAACTGTAAGACTTGGAAAACCCACTGCCATTGACTTTGAGCAGCGAGCCACGCAATAGTGGCTGTTTTATGCCCAAGGAAACGGCATTGATGAGCAATGTTGAATTTGTATGCCATATCTATTGCTGCAACCTCTTTTCTCCCTTGGAAAGACTCCCATTGGTATTGGATTTCCTATCTACTACCAGTATCCCAGTAACTGCCTTGTGGAAGGAGTGGGCAAATGACAAAGGGTAATTTGGCCAATGACACCCAAGAACAGAAATGGAAGAAGAAATGGAAAAAGAGCACCATCTGGTGGAAGTCTCTGGTGGAGGCATCAGGGGCCCAGGACCCAGGGGTCCCAACACCAGGCTCAGAAACAGGCAGGCAGCAAAGGGAAGGTCCTTGAAGGGGAGCTGGCATCTCTTCCTGTCCTAGCTCCTCCAAAATGCCATGCAAAGTCCAAAACCTAGCGCCTGCCTACAAAGAGCTTCTAATCCAGTCCAAAATAGGAGACACCTGACTTCAGAGAAATGATCATCTCAGAAAGTAAAGAACTACAAATACTACGGTAACAACAGACAAGATGCATGTGACTCAAG